TGGCTTACATCATGGAGACAACTCACCTAACATGCCACTACGAATTTCATCATTTCATCTACTTTTGCCCTTCAGAAACTCCTATAAATAGACCCTTAATCTGCTCTCATTGATCACACAACAACAAGAAACACAAAAACAAAGAGTAGAAGAAGATTTGGAGGCTTGGAGCATGAAGAACAAGCCTTGAGGGATCTTCATGAGGCCATCCTCCGAAAGTTTTGCTTGCGAGCATTTGAATAAATGCTGGTTTGAGCTCAAAGTTTGTTCGATTGATCGGTGGCCTTCGGATGCATGACAGGAATTCTGTGGGTTTGGGTGAGTTGTAGTCACCGTACGTCTCGGCTCGTGGCTCCCGTCGTAAGGCTGGTTCTGGTGCTTGAGGGGGTGGTGGAAGTCGTGGTGGTTGATTATTGACGCCCGCCATTTTTGTTTGTCTTCTTCGAGTGATATACGTTCTTTCAATTTCGGGGTCGTATGGTTGCAAGTTGTCACTTCCACTACTTCGGGTCATGCACCGAACATCCTGTAATATTCAAAAAAAAATTTCAAAGTATACTAGAAATAAAAATATAAAGGGAAAATGGATTATAAACAAGAAAGACGAAATGAACAAATTTATCAAGATTACAAAAAGATGGATTTACTTAAGGCGTGGTGAAAGTTCATAGAGTTTAAAGTTCCACCATGAATGCATATAAATCACATAATCATATTCTTAGTGCTTGTTCATCGAATTAAGTTCATACCGATTCTCATAACGTCTTTTGATATTGAATCCAACTTTGTTTTTTCCATCCTCTTTGATAATCAAAAGTTTGAATCTTGATTTAGTTCACTAGATTTTTAGAAATATTGTTAGAAACAAAATTCCATTCCCTTGGGACGAACCTTAAGTACCATCGATATAACCGTGCACTTGCGGTTGTGTGTGCTTAAGTGACTTATAAATATTAAAGCTTGATCAAACTACGCACACTACTTAGCACGCATCAAGTTTTTGGCGCCGTTGCCGGGGAACTCGTGAAAATTGTTTTTGACGATAACTCTTTTAGTCTTGTGAACTTTCACCACGCCTTAAGTAAATCCATCTTTTTGTAATCTTGATAAATTTGTTCATTTCGTCTTTCTTGTTTATAATCCATTTTCCTTTTTATATTTGTATTTCTAGTATACTTTGAAATTTTTCTTTTGAATATTACAGGATGTTCGGTGCATGACCCGAAGTAGTGGAAGTGACAACTTGCAACCATACGACCCCGAAATTGAAAGAACGTATATCACTCGAAGAAGACAAACAAAAATGGCGGGCGTCAATAATCAACCACCACGACTTCCACCACCCCCTCAAGCACCAGAACCAGCCTTACGACGGGAGCCACGAGCCGAGACGTACGGTGACTACAACTCACCCAAACCCACAGAATTCTTGTCATGCATCCGAAGGCCACCGATCAATCGAACAAACTTTGAGCTCAAACCAGCATTTATTCAAATGCTCGCAAGCGTCGTAAGGCTGGTTCTGGTGCTTGAGGGGGTGGTGGAAGTCGTGGTGGTTGATTATTGACGCCCGCCATTTTTGTTTGTCTTCTTCGAGTGATATACGTTCTTTCAATTTCGGGGTCGTATGGTTGCAAGTTGTCACTTCCACTACTTCGGGTCATGCACCGAACATCCTGTAATATTCAAAAAAAAATTTCAAAGTATACTAGAAATAAAAATATAAAGGGAAAATGGATTATAAACAAGAAAGACGAAATGAACAAATTTATCAAGATTACAAAAAGATGGATTTACTTAAGGCGTGGTGAAAGTTCACAAGACTAAAAGAGTTATCGTCAAAAACAATTTTCACGAGTTCCCCGGCAACGGCGCCAAAAACTTGATGCGTGCTAAGTAGTGTGCGTAGTTTGATCAAGCTTTAATATTTATAAGTCACTTAAGCACACACAACCGCAAGTGCACGGTTATATCGATGGTACTTAAGGTTCGTCCCAAGGGAATGGAATTTTGTTTCTAACAATATTTCTAAAAATCTAGTGAACTAAATCAAGATTCAAACTTTTGATTATCAAAGAGGATGGGAAAAACAAAGTTGGATTCAATATCAAAAGACGTTATGGGAATCGGTATGAACTTAATTCGATGAACAAGCACTAAGAATATGATTATGTGATTTATATGCATTCATGGTGGAACTTTAAACTCTAATCCAAGATCATCTTTCTCTCAAAAGATCAAATCTTCTTACTTAGATACTTCAAATTTTCTCATTTCTCAATGATGAAATATAAGTTCTAAGAGCATTACAAGTTCATGTTTAATCAATGTTCCTAGAGAATTCAAGATCATTTCTCAATGAATCATGACTTCTAGATGATAATCTTGTTCATAACATGCTTGGATTTCTCAATTCAAAACATGTTTATAGAATCATGATCAAGAATTAATTCAAGAACAAGCATTAAGACTCAAGATTTCAACACCATGAGCATATGAACACAATATCATCAATCAAGCACAAGCTTATTCATCAAACCAAATTCAACCTATCCCATAACAAGAGAACTACTCTAGAGCCATGAAATGATCAAGAGACATCATCAAATGATAAAAAAAACATAAAGATAGAGAGAAGAGAAAGAGAAAGCTTCTCTAGATCTTCAAGGCTTGTTCTTCATGCTCCAAGCCTCCAAATCTTCTTCTACTCTTTGTTTTTGTGTTTCTTGTTGTTGTGTGATCAATGAGAGCAGATTAAGGGTCTATTTATAGGAGTTTCTGAAGGGCAAAAGTAGATGAAATGATGAAATTCGTAGTGGCATGTTAGGTGAGTTGTCTCCATGATGTAAGCCATGATGTCAGCAACCAGAATTTTGCTCAGATTGTAACTGCTCGATGAAGGGCCAAATCTCCACCAAAAATTACGATCTTGGTGTCTATGGAAAGCTCTTGATGTCTAGTTTACTGTGAAACAAACGGCGAAGCAATCCGAGCTCCCAATCGAAAGTTATGGAGGAGATAGTACACCCTTCTCATTTTGCTTTTCTGGATCCGAAGCGTGACTTGCAACTTTCGGCCACGATTCATGCTTTCTCTTTTCGATCGCAACTTTTCCAGATCATAACTACAATGAGTTGATGATCTTTTAAAATTGGAATCACGTCATTTGGACTTCAGATAAGAAAGTTATAGTCAAATTCGTCCAAACTGTCAAAACTGCCCATGAAACCGAGTTTGCTCCATTTTTGTTCCATTTTTGCCAAATGTTTCCAAAATAATTTTTGTCACCTACAAAATATGAAACACACCAAAAACAAACCAAAATATTCCTAATCTAAATATGAAAGCATGAGAATAACATGATAATTATATGCAAGTTAATACGACAAGATTCGTGCGATCAAATTCCCCCAGACTTAGTGTTTTGCTCGTCCTCGGGCAAATGGCATGAATGCATAATGAGAAAAATTTGACCAATGACTCAAAAGACTTTGATACGCTTAAATATCATATTCACCATGGGAAAATCAGTTGACTACAATTCGATTTCCATACCTTTATAGGATTTCGACCTTTTCCAAAGGAATTGTATCACATTAGAAAATCAAGACAAGATAAATTATGATCTTACCAAGCGGACTTCCAAACTTTATAGCCTGCTGTTCTAGGGAATATTTTGGTCCAAGACGGTTTGGTGTATGCCAAGTGTTTATTTTGAAGATGGCTGAATCGGGAAGATATGTGGAATGGAATGAAGAAAAAAAATTTTTCCATTCGGTGTGCCAAGAATATATAAAATCTCTTTTTTTTTCTCTTTTTTTTTTTGTT